CACAGGCTTCTGCGGTTTAGCCCGCAGTGCCACCACATCCCTATTGATATTCTGAGTAGGGGGTATTAATCCTTGCTCATTTTCCTACAACAGCCATCCAGTGAGAAATATCCGGACACTATTGTTAGATGTTTTGTAAAGGTGTGCACTGTGCTGGTGGGGAAAAAATGTCCAGTTTTCAATGCCTGACTTTTGCACAGTTGCCTGTTTTTTGTTTGTTTTTTGCACAAAACTGTGCAATTTCCTAACTGCAAGAAGTGTCCAAATCAACCTCTGCTCTGCCTCTCAAAGGTAAAAGATATCAGAGATATTTTGCATAAATTACTGAGATCTTGAGGATTAAAATAAAAGCTCTCCATGTCACTCTGGCTGGAGGTATGAAATGTCATATAGATGCTAAGCTTTCTCTTTCAGGTGTCTCATTTCATTGTGTCACGACAACCTAATTTGACGAGGAAGGGAATTTAGTGAGTATTCCTTCCATCCCTAATTCTGAGAGGCTTGCACAAGGTCAACACTTCCAAGATTTTGCCTGCTTAATACTGGAGACCCTCCTGTTCCCTGGAAGATCTTTTGAACTCCCAGTGCTTCCCAGTTGCATTACTAAAATGAACGTTCATCAGAAAAGCACAACAGATGAAAGTATCTTTGCCTGCACAAGATAAGGAGTTGACATTGCCTTTATTTCTTTTGGCACCAAGATAAACCCTAGTCATGTGAGTATCTCTGTTCCTGGAAGTACAGGTACTGCGCCAGAGAAGAGAAGGACAAATGCTAGGAAGACCACTTGGGGAAGTCTGTGACCATAGGTTTGCATCGGGTCCCACAATCACAAGATTAAGGACAGTTATAGGCATTAGGCTACAAACACAAAATGGCAACAGTGAATCTCAGGAAAGGGGGTCAGCAATGGTCCAGACAGGGGGATTTGGAGTGGTCTGGTTTGCACTTAAACGTTTCTCATGTTCAATGTGATCTGTTTTATCTCTTACTTGAGTGATCCTTCACACTGGAGAAGTTAATTCACCTGTGAGAAGGGTCCACACAAGTCTTTCAATCACTGGTTGAATTACTTGTGAGAAAGGTTTGCCCAGTTTACTCAAGATAAAGTTTTTCCAGTTTACTTCCAAATAAAGAGGCCGCAAGGGAGGACAGTGGTGATAAGGCAAGCTCACAGTTGCGGTACTGGCATGGGTGGGAAATGTTGCGGTGAAGGTTGGGAAGGTGGAAGGGAGGGAACCTCCCCTTTCCCTTCAGTTGAGAATGTGTTGGGGCTGTGCTGCCTTGTGGGGGCAGAGCAATGGAGTCGACATAGATCTCTTCCCCACCTTTTCTTGCAGCCGTCATTCAGCTGGCCACAATTGCTTTTTTTGGTTAAATAAAGTAACCAGCATATCAAAAGAGCCATGTATCAACTCAGCAATGTGTTAGATTTGTGCTGCATTGGTTAAGGAATATTAAAAAAAGAAAGAAAATGAAAATAGACATGGGTTCCTTGTCCTCCCCTTTAATGTCACAATCCACCTCTTACATCACAGGGTTGTCATCTCAGATAACACCACTTACAGCTGCTTTTGGGCACAAGCTAACCATCCACACAGCCTACCACAACGGAATAATTAGAATGACACTGAAGCTTACAAAAAAGAATACATGCCTTAGCACTGTGCAAGAAAGGTGAAGGACAGCTCGTAAAGGGGAAAGATGGATTGATCTAAGTGGAAACGTGTGGATGCCGCCATTTAGTTTGAACCAAACAGTAATACTAGCAAACCATATACCAATCTGTATGTCAGTCTGGACATGCCCACTGGCTCTACAGAATGGATAGGAGGATCCTCCCTTCAGATGCCTGACTT